AAAATACGAAAGCTAATAGAGGCGATCCCGACTAACACAATGGAAACTACTAAGTACTTAGCGGAACAAATTAGAGTCATAACATGGAAACCATGAACGATACCTTCAGGATATAAAAACGTTTAAAAATAAAACTGGGAGAATAACGGAGGAAGGTTTAAAAATGTTTGCAGAATACTTCAGCGATTATGACAGAGTTACAGAAATGGTGGGCGAATTTAAACACATAGCCGAGAGACTTAAAACAAAATTTGGAACAACGGTGGACATAATATACTTGGCGAGTCGGGGAACGACACATATACCAGATGCGGCATTTAGAGCGATTTGGAAGCAAAAATTTTGGCAGAGCAGCTGAGACCAGTTCTCCAGTTCCCACCAAGGGAAAATACAAATACAGAAAAGGAAATTGGAGAAATCTCAGAAATAGCGAACATGGCATTTAACGGCAGAATAATATATTACATACGGATACCACTGGTTACGAAAGAAAATTTGGGCCTTCTTAGAAAATCATCGTTGCCAGTGGAACAAAATAGGCTTAAATACTACGGATTTAGTGGCATACTTGTAGCCAACATACGAATACATAGCGAGCAGTGTTACTGGAACTATTTTCAAAACTACCTAACAGGTTATCAAAAATAGATATCGAAAAAATACTTCGGATCTACACGAATCATAAGTTTTCCCAATATTCGACGAATAAGCGTTGATTTCGCAATTTGACCACCCACCTGGCCTGAGCTCTCTTAATCTATCCAGGTGCGGGTTAGGCCCTATTTACGGTGGATGCAGAAGCAGGATGCAAAAGCAGGAGGGAGTATTGGCTATAGTATATAGATATATATTCATAAGTAAAAAGCACAAGACTTTGTGTTTTCATAGATAAAGATATACAAGAAATACGGCCTGCTTGATTCAGCGTACTACGTGTGCGCCTGCATCCACCGTGAATAGGGTCTAAATCAAACAGTGTGGGCAAAGAGGATCTTTTCATACCCCCACCGCTATCGGAACTTTCCGTTGGGAAAGTTCCGAAGCCAATCAGAGTAGAGCTACAACAGGAGTGTAGAAGAAGACTTATTTCTCCTATAAATAATAACGCAAGTGCCTATCCCCACACAACCCAGGGCCCTTACTGGCTGCTTAAATTATAAAAAAACAAATATAATAACGCAAATGCCTATCCCCACACAACCTGGAGCGCTTACGGGTCCCTTTATTCATGATTACTAAAATGATAATACAAGCGCCTATCCCCACATAACCCAGGGCGCTTACTGGTCGTTTTAATTATTTATGATTAATAAAATAATAACACAAGCTCCAATCCCCACACAACTGGGGTGCTTACTGGTCACTTACTTAATTTACTATAAATAAAATAATAACACAAGCGCCAATCCCCACACAACTAGGGGCACTTCCTGAACGCTTTACTCATTGATAAAATGAAATAAAAACACAAGGGCCAATCTCCACACAACCAGGGCGCTTACTGGTCACTTACTTAATTCACTATAAATAAAATAATAACGCAAGCGCCTATCCCCACACAACCCAGGGCGTTTACTGGTCGCTTTGATTATTGATAAGATAAAATAATAACACAAGCGCCAATCCCCACATAACCCGGGGCGCTTACTGGTAATTTGAATTATTTACGCTTAATTAAATAATAACGCAAGCGCCAATCCCCACACATCTAGGGTGCTTACTGGACGCTTTGATTATTCACAATAAATATAATAATGCGAACACTAAAATCCCCACATGACCCGGGAGACGTGCATTATTCTATTGGTTTTAGATAATTATAGTGACTAGTTATCAGCCCCGGTTGTGCGGTAGTTGGCACTTGCGTTATTCTTTTATTTTATTAATTAGTAAAGCAACCAGTAAGTGCCCCGGGCTGTGTGGGGATAGACGCTTGCGTTATTTTTTTATTTATAGTAAATTAAGTAAGCGACCTGTAACCGCTGCGGGTCATGTGGGGATTGTCGCTCGCGGTATTATTTCATTAATCATAAATACTTAAAGCAACCAGTAAGTGCCTTGGGTCGTGTGGGAATTGGCGCTTGCTTTGTTAATTAATAAATTTTATTCAAACTCATGAGGCTGCTTATTGGCCCATTGGGTAATTGGGTTAAATTTGAATTTCCTACAAGTTTGCCAGTATCATTGAGGCAGAACCACTGGCTTCCTCTCTCCTATTCAGCTTTTGCATTTTTCTCACTAGGATCTGTAGCT